GTGTACAACATTCTCCTGGTTCTGCTAACTTCACTTTGCATGAGTTCCTATAAATCTTTCCAGTTTTTCTGAGAGCATCCTGTTTGTCATTTCTTATACCACAATAATAGTCCATCAGAATAATATACCATAACTTGCTCAGCCATAAAGGGAGTAATTTTACATATTTTGGTTTTAATATTTTTATTTTTGTCATTCTTTCCATTCAAATTGTTATAATTACATATATATATGTATATATATATATATATATATATATATATATATATATATATATATATATATATAGTTTCCTCGTTCTGCTTGCTTTACTTGGAAACCATAAAGCATTCATTTTCCTATGTTTCTTTCTATTCTTAATATTCATCATTCCTTATGGCATGGTAATATTCCATTATATTTATTTAACACATTTTGTTTAGCTATTCCTCAATATACTTTATTTCTGGTTTTTGTTTTTGTTTTGCTATTATGAAAAGTACTGCCCCCCCAAAAAGAATTACATTATCTTTTAACTTCGCTGAGAAATGGTAGACACCCTATCCTAGCTGCCTCCATAATTACTTCATGTTTTCCTGTTTCTTCCCAGCCTCCTCTAGTCTTACTGTATGATGACTATTAACTAATTTCTAATGATAACTTAAGTATTAGCTGAGATACAGTCCCCAGTTTTATCTAGAAGATTGAAAAATAGAAAGTTGTAAGTATGTTGACATGTATTGGGCCTTTGTATCTTTGACCTCTTTGGTATGTATGCCTAGAAGTTGGATCTTTGGGTCTAAGGAAACTAGAGACACTTTAATGAGTAACTATTAACTCCCCAATTCACCCAGTATAAATCTCCAGATTAAATTACATATGTATAATTGGGGTTATCTGAGCATGAACAGGTAGTCTTTTCCTACTTCTGGCTGACCATATGCAAGCTTTGGGGTTGCTTCCAGCCTTGTGGTAACCCACTGATGAAAGGGCTTGGTATTTTCATATGACGTATAAAACCCCAAGTGGTCCCTTGTGTGATAGCAGGGAGGGCAGGATGCTGTGTCTGTTAAAAGAAAAAATATTAACAGCTAACACTTAGATAGTACTCTTGTGCCAGTTGCTTTATAATTATTATCTCTTTTGGTCCTCATAACAACCTTGGGAGGTAGGTGCTATTATTATTATCCCCATTTTACATTTGAGGAAACTAAGGCAGACAGCTTTGCCTATCAGATGGGTGTAAGGTGGAACCTCAGAATTGCTTTAATGATTCATGTTTCCTTTCCTTGAGTAGGGACCTTATAAGTTCAAAAAGTCTGGTTCTGTGATCCCAGCGTCAGCAAAGTCCGCTGGCATAGCACCTGCAGCAGGAGCAGGCTGCAACAGAAGTTTCTGCATTGGAGAGGGCGGCCACTGGAAAAAAATTGATTCAAACTTGGCTCTTTGGTTGGACAGTACAGTACAAAGGTGGAATGTAAGGTGCTTAATTAGCAGGCTTATAAAACTGCTTTATGTTCTGATAAGGTTTAAATACTGCTGCTAGGTGGCGCAGTGAATAGAGCACCAGCCCTGAAGTCAGGAGGACCTGAGTTCAAATCTAGCTTCAGACCAAACACTTGACACTTAGTAGCTGTGTGACTCTGCACAAGTCACTTAACCCCAATTGCCTAAAACAAAACCATAAATAAATAAGTAAATATTGCTCCTAGACAATTGTATCAGTAACATCATTGAATCCTGTTTTAATATCCTGTTAATATACACTGTGCTTATTTTATACTTAACATTTCTTTTTGTGAGTAGGAGTAAAAATTGCCTGTCCTCTACTCAGTTCACACACAATCTTGAATACTTTTGTTACTTTCTTTCTTTGGGAGAATCCCTAGATTTGTGAATCATAATTAGCATTGTCTTTGGCTGAAAGTTTGTTAACAAGCCCAAGATTATGGAAAAAAAGGCAGCCCTTCAATAGCAAGCAGTTTCTTAGGCACTGAACCTAAGTAAATTAAATTTGAGGGTACAAGACAGGGAGGGGTGAGTACCCCAGCCCCTCTGTGCTAAGCTGAGCAATCTCTCAATACAAGACATATTTATAGAAACATCTTCCTAGGGAGGTCTTGTACAACTGGTAAAGTAGAGTCACTGCCACAACTCTTGGAGAATAAATCATTTTAAGGAGCTGGTTTTTTTTTTCCAGATAACCAGGGATTTACCTCTTTTAGCACCAAAACTTATGTTTACCACTTGGGAGAAAAGTTTTTCTAAACACATATATATCCTGGCTCTTTCATTTGCTACCTGTGTGACCTTGGGCAAGTCATTTAAGTTTTATGAGTTTCATTTTCCTCATCTGTAAAATGAGAGGGTTAGACAAGAATCCTCCAATGGTATGCCCTACTAGAGTACATGTTAAGGGACAGACATGGGACTTGACCTAAGTACTTCAAAGCCTAACATAGCAATGAAATGATAAAGATGTAATTACATGTAATTTCAAAATTACAAAGTGCTTTGAGGAGGAAATATGAAACAGAGTACTGTACTGGAGAGTTGGGTTAATTGGGAAGGTTTTTTTGAAATACTAGTTGGAGCAGGCAAGTTTTCTTTCTTTCTGTAGTAAGGAAGTATTAACAGCTACAGTGGAGCCCCTAGACAGAGGTGTGAGAACTGTGTGAGGATGGGCTTAGGGCCTTTGTGCTGAAAAATGTCCATTTCATTTACTCTATGACACCCCCCAAATGGTGTGAAGTGAGGGTGGCCTCTTCCATGTTCTGTCTTGAGCCTAGAAACCAGAAGTCCCTGAAGCAGCTCAACACTTGAAGAGTACCAAAAGAGGACTCACAAAAGGCACTCAAAGGGGACTGGATGAAAACTGAGGTTTCTTCAGTTTTTACCAACACCACCCTGCCCTTCATGCAGAATGGGGCATTCATCCCCACCAAGAAGGAGAGAGTTCCATACCAATGGGCTTTGAGACAAGGATTACAGGTGGCAAACTTCTGAATCCCAAATCAGACACCAATACCCATTTATTTCCTGCATTCTCTCTTGTTGCCAAAACATCATCAACAACAACAACAAAAACACAAACCCCAACACTATATTGCTTGAAGTCAATACTTCTTTCACGATTTGTTTGTTTTGGAAGGAGGAAATTGGGGTGAGAGATGTGAGAGATCTCAACAGACTAAAACAATGGACCAAATAAATTAAGAGTTAATAGGCATAATAATAATAATAATGGTAATAAATAAAATGATGATAATAAACCTGTTCTTGTGTTAAAACAAAACAAACTGTTCAGGTAACAGATGGAAGGGATATGACCATAAAGTACTTCCTGGGAAATGGCCAAGAGGGTTTTAGTGAAATGCAGCTCAATGTTGTATTTTTATTTGTTTTTTTTTTTGTAGGCAATGGGGCTAAGTGACTTGCCAAGGGTCACACAGCTATGTTATGTGTCTGAGGCTGGATTTGAACTCAGGTCCTCCTGACTCCAGGGCCAGTGCTCTATCCACTGCACCACCTAGCTGCCCCTCAATGTTGTATTTTTAATAGTACCTCCACCACTACCAACCTTACCCCTGCCATTTTGATATTGGCTGTGGTAATAGTAGTAAGGTATTTAGTACTGGGAGATTATAGCCACTCTGTTTCTAGTGTGAACCACATTTCTGGATACCACATTTTAGGAATGGCATTGATAAATATTGGAGTCCCTCCAAAAGAGCACTAACTAGTTAGTGAAGAAACTAGAAATCATGCCATATGAAGACTAATGGAAGTAACTCAGAATTTTTAGCCTGGATCAGAAAAAAAAATAGGACAGGATACCTGTGGAATAGGACTTAAGCTTGTAGTGCTTGGCTTCAGAGAACAGAGAACTAAGGCCATTGGCTAGAAGTTACAGTCAGATTTTGAATGGAAAGAAGGAAAAATTTAAGGATCTGAACTGTCCAAAAAAGTCTTTGTCATTGGGCAGGGCCAATGATTTTAATTTCTCTGTGTTCTAGTTCCCTTATCTGTTGAAAAGAGAGGGGAGAGAGAGAGAGAGAGAGAGAGAGAGAGAGAGAGAGAGAGAGGTTGGATTAGAGCCAAGTGATCTCTAAGGGTATTTCAAGCTCTAAATCCTGTGATCCTAAGTGGAGTGAATGTGCTTCATCAGAAGGTGCTTTCTCCATTTCTTGAGGTCTTCATAGACCCTAGATGGCCATTTGTTGTAAAGGCTGTTGTAAAGGGTAGGGATTGATCTGGTTGATTCTGGAGACAGATGCCTCCAATTCTAAGATTCTTTTATTTTACAATGCGATATGGACGGCAAGTAGGCAGTTGTTTAAGTTGATATTAATAAAATGGCATTTTAAAAAATTTAAAAATTTGATCATAAGGATAATAATGTTTTGTTTTGTCATTGGCCCGGGACTATAGAGGAGGTAGAGGACCCTCCCCTCCTCCCACTGCCTCCTGCCGGTCCCCAAGAGAAGGAGGAGGCACCAAACAGTCTTTTTACAACAGCTCAGCTCAAACCCCTGCTCGTTGTCTGGCCTCTGTCTTTCTAGCCTACATCAATCCAGCAACAAGCACTCGTTAAGTGCTTACTATGAGCCAGGTAATGTGCTGGGTAGGCGCTGGTTATACAAAGACAGATATAGAAAATGTATACGAGTGTGTGTGTGTGTGTGTGTGTGTGTGTGTGTGTGTAACGCACCGGGGTGATTGGGAAAGTCCTCCATTAGGAGGTGGCTGGGCTGGAAGGCGCCTCAGGTGGTTGTCCCCAGCCCCAGCAGCTTTGAAATGAAAAGCGAGGAAAAAGAATAGAAAACCTGTCGCCTTATGGGTAGCCAGACTGCCCAGCTTCCCAGTACCCGGGCTAAGACCTCGGAGATGCGGGAGGGGAGTAGCGAGGTGGGCGTGCCTGAAGTGGCCGCCCAGTGGGTTGGGGCAGGAGGAGGGCGAGAGGAGGGGTCTGCGAGAGGGACGCATCCTACAGGCGGAGAGCTGGAGACTAAGCTTCGGAGGCCGAACATCCGGCCAGCTGGGAGGGCGTAGGGGTGGGAGATCAGCGTAAAGGCACAGCTGCTGGTTTCGGGGGTGGACGCGGCTTGTTCCCAGCTGCGGTGCCCAGCTTTGGCTTTGGAGCCGCCAGCTGCTCAGCTGAATGATACACGGAAGAGGGGAGAGGAAACATCTCCGCCCCGGCCCCAAGCGCAGCACAACGGGCGGCCTGGACCATGAGCGCCGAGCATTTCTGGGACCAACTGCGGGCGGGCAGCTCGGAGGTGGACTGGTGCGAGGATAACTACACCATCGTACCGGCCATCGCCGAGTTCTACAACACGGTGCGGGGAGCCAGAGGGGGTGTGCTTGCGCGCGTGGGTCCGGGTGGGTGCGTGAGTGTGTGTGTGGGGGGGTTTGGAGGGGGTGGTGCGCGGTGTGCCTGGGCACGCGCGTCCGCGAATGCACGCGCGTGTGTTAGTCTCTAAGTAGGCTTATCCGTGACGTTCTCTCCTACCTTTCATGACATCTGGTCTTATCCTTCTCTGCAACCTCTTTCTGTAATTTTCTGCTAGTCACCCGAATGCCCTGGGCTGCCCAGCCCTACGTCACTGAGGAGCTGACTTGCAAGTTCACGGGTAGATTAACTTGACGCTTAGATCCACTGGGCGATGGTAATAAAACTCTGAAAAGTTTCAGTAGCCGACCTCTGTGCCCCTTTTAATACATGAACGGACTCTCAGTGACGCAGTCCCATCCTACTAGGTGACTTTTATTATAAACGCCTGCGTCTTTGGAGTCCTGGGAAAGGAGGAAATGGGGAATCCCGAGAGCACTGGACTGGTTGGAATTGCCACGGACTGGGGCAGTTACTGGTCAACAAGTCAGTATTTATCAAGCACCTCCTATGTGCCAGGCACTATGCTAAACGCTGAGATATGAACAAAAGCAAAACGAAGGCAGGAAGAGAGAGTAAGTTGCAGTGAGAATGAGACATTCCGAGCTGAGCTTGTTGCTTGAGATTCAGACACTGAGCTTGATTTCCACAGCATAGTTAACCTCTTGTTTATCTTTTGGCTCTTCTAACACAGAAAACAGAAATTCCAGTGGAGTGTTTAAAACTTATGTGTTTGATTTGATGTTGGTTATGGGTTTCATAGAGTACTAGAATAGTAGAGCTAGAAGGGGACTGCTACACACAGGGCAATTGAGGCCCGTAGAGGTAGACACAGCTAGTGAGGGGTAGAACTGGACTTTTCCGTGTTCAAAGAATCCGTGTTCAAAGCCCTAACGTTCTACACAAACACACAGGATCTTTGTGACATTGGCAATACCTAAGGAAAACACTATACAACCTTCACAATGAATTGTAGTTTAATATAATTAGATGGCATCAATTTAGTAATTCTAGAAGGATGTTCATATAACTATGGGTAAACAGAGTAGGATGTTGTATTGAGCATCAGTTTTGGGCACAGGGTATGACAGTAGACTCTGTTTCATCAATAAGAACAAAGCACACTTCTTGATTAATTTTCCCTTTTTTGTCTTATAGAGATAACAACACTCGCTTTTCACAAGGGGTAGTATGAAAAGAAACATTCTTTGAACTTTGAAAGACAAGAGAGGCACCTACATACAAAATAATACCACAGCACACCAAAAGACCATTCAACTACATACAGAATAATATCATGGCACAATACACCAGAAGGCCTAATAGGCAGTGAAGCAGAAAGTAGAATAATTCCCCCCAGGGAATCTGGGACTGGTGGTTATGGTAGACAGTCAGTATAAGGGCTTTTAGCCAAAGGAATGCAATTTGTGTATTTCAAGTTTTCCACAGTTGTGCTTTTCTCTTTCTCTGTGAATATTTGAGATAGTTTGCTAGTAGCATTGTTTTGTTTTGTTTTTCCTTTTTAAGCTAATCTCACTGGAGATGGATGAAATTAGTGCACATCTGAAAGAATATATTTTAGAAAGGCTAACAATGTTCTCTAACTCAAGTTTTTTGTGGGTGTGTTTTATTGTTCAGCATATTTATCATTTTCAACATTTGCTGTGCTATACAAGAGAGGTTATGAAAGTCTTTAGGTCTGGTAGGATCAGTTAACATTTGTGGAGGGGAAGAGGCTTCCTATCACCTTTGACTGATGAACAGAGAGGACCAACTTTGGCACTCATTTATTAAACAAGCTTTTGTCTATCTACCTACTTACCTATTTAACAAGTTTTTATTGAACATCTCCTCTGTCCAACCCTGTCAAAGTCCTTTAAAGCAAGCATAAGAGGCTTAAGATACGGTCCTTGTCCTTGGGAAGCAATAAAAACTTGCTGAATTTGAATTCGGGGAGACAAAATTGCGGCGCTTGTTATAAGCAGAGAATTCCAAAACAATGTTAACCAAGTAGTTAATGGTAGTATAGAACAGATTGTACTTAAGGAATTCAGAGTAAAGATGATTGTAGGATGGGGTTAGTTTGCCAGCCCAGAAGGAGGGTCATATTTTGATAATGGGAGAGTTCATTGTCTCATCAAGTCAACAAGCATTTCTTACTGTTTGCTGGGTTCTGTGCTAAATGCTGGGAAAGAAATACAAGCAGAAAAAAGACAGTCTCTTTCCTCAGGGAACTTACTTTCTAATGGAGGAAGACAACATTTGAAACTGAAAATTGTATAGAACCTGGAGGGGAATGAAGAAGTAGCTGGCCTGGATCAACTGGTGATGTTGTTCAGTTGTGTCCAGCTAGTAGTGAAGACTACACCATTTGGGGTTTTCTTGGCAAAGATACTGAAGTGGTTTGCCATTTCCTTCTCCAGTTCATTTTCAGATGAGGAACTGAGGCAAACAGGTTAAGTGACTTGCCCAGGGTCATACAGCTAGTAAGTGTCTGAGGCCAGATTTGAACTCAGGAAGATGAGTTTTCCTGACTCCAGGCACAGCACTCTGTGCACCATGGCACCATCTAGTTACCCCTAGTTGTCCTGGGTACTTGCCTTAAAATGGATGTTTGAGAGAAGAACTGGCCTATCAGAGGAAACCTCAAGGATGGAGTGTGCTTCCAGTGTGAGAAGGTTTCTGGGGCAGAATGAACTCCAGAGTGAGCTACCAGGTCAAGAAGCCTGCCCACAGAGTTGTGGGCAAAATGAGTTCCCGATGAAATGCTCGTGTTACTATGGGGCCTTCAGCTGCTCTGGAACTATCGCAGCTAGTATTATGCAAATGATTTGAGATTTCCTTGGAGACTCCTTTCACTCTTAGAATTTGTTTAGTTAAGCTCAAGGGAGTTGCTTGAGGCCCAAACTGATCAAGTGCCCGAGATTAAATATATAGCTAGTGCTGAAGCAGGATTTTAATCCAAGGCTTTCTGACACCCTGCCAAGTACCCTATCTTCCACACTAGCTGCCTCTCACAGCAAAGGTGATGTGTGTGTGTGTGTGTGTGTGTGTGTGTGTGAGAGAGAGAGAGAGAGAGAGAGAGAGAGAGAGACAGAGAGAGAGAGAGAGAGAGAGAGAGAGAGAGAGAGAGAGAGAGAGAGAGAGAGAGAGAGAGAGAGAGAGACTAAAGGGATGTAGATGTAGGAGTATCCCTAGCAGCTCAGGAGATAAGTGAGATATGTAACTACATAGGCTAGTGATGTCATAAGTCGTAAGATTTAGATTTTGCTGGAGAAAAGATATTAATATTAACTAATACTCTACTTTGAGTGTAGGCACTGGTCTGCCACATGCAGTTTTATTGAATTTATCTTTAATGTACAAGCCATTGTCATAGTTCTTATGCCTTCTGACATGACTCTTTGCTCCAGGAAGATTTCAGGTAACATTTATAAGAATCTTGAACCAGGAAAAATGTCTTTAAAATATGGCCTGGGTTATTAGCATCCTAGAATTGAGCAACCATATCTCTATTCCCTTCTTCTGCGACCACTTTCCTGGAGGAATCAATGGTGTTCCTCTCACAGATTTATATTAAGTGCAGTGCCTGTACATCGTAGGTGCTTGATGTTTATTGATTGATTGCTATTGAGAATACCAAATGAAAAGGTAAAGATTTGAGTGCCCCCTTTGGGGTAGACCCTAATCTAATCTCTTCATGGAGCAGAGGGAAGAGATTGCTCTTAGATGGTTCTGTGTCCTGTTACGTACTGGGAAGAGGAAAAGCAATGTTATCATCTAAATTAGAGGTGGTATTGTTCAGTCGTTTTTCATTCACATTCTACTTATTGTGACCCTGTTTGGGGTTGTCTTAGCATAGATGCTGGAGTGGTTTGCCATTTCCTTCTTCAGCTCATTTAACAGCTGAGTAAACTGAGGCAAACAATCAAGTGACTTGCCCAGGGTCGCACAGCTGAGCCCAGATTTGTACTCAGGAAGATGAATCTTCCTGACTCCAGGCCTAGTGCTCTATCCACTGCACTACCTGGCTTTGAGACTAGAGTTACTTTTTTGTTAAATTTTGTTAAATTTCTGGTTATCACCCTTATGGTTATTTTGGTTAATTTACCTAGAAGTGTCCTTTACCCTTTTGTTCCAGCCTATCCCATCCGCCTTTCTAAGGGGCTTCTCCCAGGAATCTGGAAAGGCTTTAGAGAAAAGTATAATTTTTAATATTTCTAAAGGAACTAAGAAGGACTCTTTTATATGCTTTCACCATATGGAAGAGATCTTATCTGTCTCATCAAACCCTTCCATTATAACAGATTAGGAAACTAAGGTACATGATGAAGTCCCTTGCCCAAGGTCACATGGATACTAAGTAGCAGAGCTTTGGCTTTTGCCCATACCTGCAGACTACATTGTACTCCAAAGACCACCCTTAAATATTCAAGCCACTCACTAGTCGTGATGGGGACACCTTAGCATGTGTATGAATGGATCTATGCAAATCCATCTCCACCACTGAAAAAAATAGTTCAGAAGTTCATCTGTGCCTTACATTAGTGGATCATTAGTTATTTCCCAGTTACCCACACTACTGTTGGCATGGATAATTGAAAACCTGCACTTAAATAAAACCAGCAGCAAATCTTTCCACCTGGGGTGGAGCCATGGTCTGGTTTCCTGCCACCCGTTAGCCCCATAGACCAGGAAAGTCCTTTGAAAAGTGGCTGCTTTGATCGTTTCCCCTTGTCTATGTGAGAGTTCATAGTGTTTTTCATGTTTTTTTTTAAAGAGCAAACGTCCTTTTTCAATTTCTAGGTGTCTAGAAAAATCATTATGTTTTTAAATTTTGTGGCTTTCTCATGTAGTTCTACTTAAAACCATCATTCTTAGGAAGTAATCAAGTTGATTCTCTGAGGGAGTCCCACAAATACATTATAACTTAGATGGATTACTTTCTAACTCTAGTGACCCGAACAATTTACATGGGAAAATTTCCACTCAGTAGCAGACATACTTACTAGATCTGTGTCTTCACTGTTACTTTCTGGCTTTCCTGAATTTCTCTCATAGTTTCTTCCTCTTTTTGTTTTCAAGATTGACTCTTAATTTTGCCTTTTCCTTTTTGTACACAAATGTGTTTAAAAGGAACAATAGAGACCAGTAATAGATCTTGTTGGTAGATCTTCCAGGCAGGAACAGTCATGTAATTTCCTGTATTATTCTAGAGTATGTATAAATGTTATTTTAATGTTTTTCAAAATTGAGCTCTCAAATATCCTTTTTTGAGGGGAATAATAATGGGAAAGGAACAAGCATTTATTAAGTATCTTCTATGTGGCAGGCACTATGCTAAGTGCTTTATTAATATTATCTCATTTGAACTTCTTTGACAATGAGCCCAGTGCGCTATTGTTAAATCGTTTAGTTATGTCCAGCTTTTAGTAACCCCATTTTTAATGGGGTTTTCTTGGCAAAGTTACTGGAGTGGTTTGTCCTTTCCTTTTCCAGGGTCCCCATTTTACAGTTCAGAAAACTGAGGCAAAGAGAGATTAAGTGACTTACCCTGGGTTGTACTAGTAAGTGTCTGAGGTTGAATTCAAATTGAATTCAGGTCCTCCTGATTCCAGGCCCAGCACTCTATCCACTTCAACAGCTAATTGTCTCAACTAGCAGGTAGATACATACAGATATGAAAAGGGAGGGATGGGGTGAGATCTTTCCACAATATATTTCAAAATGCATTTTAAACACATTGTTTTCTTCTCTTTTATTTAATATGCATCTTTTAATTTTATTTTTTCCAGATCAGCAATGTCTTATTTTTTATTTTGCCGCCCATCTGCATGTGCTTATTCCGTCAATATGCAGCATGCTTCAACAATGGCATATATTTAATATGGACACTACTCGTTGTTGTTGGTAAGTTAATTAGTTTGTGATTAGCCTTTCATGCACGACCTGAAAGGGAGGATGTTGAATTCTGCATACTTCCTGACCTCCTTTGGACATAATGTTTTGTAAACTCAAGCAACTCTGACGTCTAGAAAACTTTTTTGTTCACTTGCTTGAAACACGTTCAAACAAAAGTTACAGAAACAACTGAGACTGTCTGGAACTCTCAGGTTTATATAACTCCTCTCCAGAGTTCTGTTACTTGCTGGTGGTAATTTTCTGGGAAATTCTGAGAACAGAGTTGTGAGAAACATTTTTTTTCCCAGTACTGTTTTTGTTGCTAGTGGACTTTAAAATAATTGTATAACTTTGATCTTTCTGTGTCCTATGAACCATTTGTATAATAGTTTCTCTTAGCTTACAGTCCTTCATTGAACAAAGTTCTGGATAAGGGGGAGAATGTTGATGCTTATCACCTCTCCATTTCTGTGAAGGCCCTGGTATATTTTGGATATGATAGATTGTGATTAACTATGAGCTTAGTAATACACTGATATTTACATATTTGAAACATACATGAGATGTATTTATAAATTTATATGCATTTATAGACATATCCATAAATGTACTTATAGACAATGGCCTGTATTTATGGATTTTTTTCCTCTAGTTTTCATCCTGAGAGACATGTGCCATCTGTGAATTAGGTGTCAGCATTATTCTTTAAACATGAATAATTTTTAAAAATTTAACTTTTTTCAATTAACAAATCTGTTCTCTCTCTCCCTCTCTCTCATCTCCCCCTCCCTCCTCTCCCTCCTCTTCTTCTTCCTCTCTCTCCTCTAGGAATTGGATCCGTTTACTTCCATGCAACACTGAGTTTCCTGGGTCAGATGCTTGATGAACTTGCTATTCTCTGGGTATTGATGTGTGCACTGGCCATGTGGTTCCCCAGAAGGTACTTACCAAAGGTCTTTAGAAATGACAGGTAATAAATATGTCCTCTTCTAAACATTGTGCCAGTCATGGGCAAAGGAATATTTAGTGAGAAATAAAGCAATGAAACCCTACCTTTACTGAGCAAATATTAGTAAGTATTTAGTTAATATGATAAATACAGTGCCTGACCATTTACATAGATTGATAGAAACGCCATCTCTACAACCGATGAATGGCAACACTCTCATGAAAAGGGAAGTAATTAAACAATGAGAAAAAGAAACCAGATGTCTTCCCCATTGAAGGAGATCCAGGCATTAGTCAATAAGCATTTGTTGTTCTTATTTGTGGTGCTGTTCATTCACCTGACTCTTTGTGACGCCAGTAGCACACCAGACCCTTCTGTCCTCCACTGTGTCCTGAAGTTTGTCCAAGTTCATGTTCACTGTTTCCATGACACTATCTATCCATCTCATCCTCTGCTGTCCCCTTTTCGATTTTTCCCAACATCAGGGAGTCCTGCCTTCCAAGGAGTCCTGTCTTCTCATTGTGGGGCCAAAGTATTTAAGCTTCAACTTCAGTATCTGCCCTTCCAATAAATAGTCTGAATTAATTTCTTTTTGTATTGACTAATTTGATCTCCTTGCTGTCCAAGGGACTCTCAAAAGTCTTCTCTGGCACCACAATTGAAAAGCATCTATTCTGTGATTCTCGCCATTCCTTAGAGTCTAACTTTCATGGCCATACTTTGCTACTGGAAAAACCATAGCTTTGACTATATGTACCTTTGTTATCTCTGTTTTTTAGTATGCTATCCAGATTTGCCATAGCTTTCCTTCCAAGGGGCAAGTGTACTTTGATGGCCGCAGTTGCCATTTGCAGTGATCTTTGATCCCAAGAATGTAAAATCTGACAGTGCTTCTACTTATTCTATTTGCCAGGAAGTGATGGAACCGTTTGCCTTGATCTTAGTATTTTTAATCGTAAGCTTCAAGCCATGCCTTTCTTTTATACTCTCCTCTTTCACCCTCGTCAAGAGGCTTCTTAATTCTTCACTTTCTGCCATCAGAGTGGTATCATCTGCATATCTAAGATTGTTGATATTTCTCTTAGCAACCTTAATTCCAGCTTTTGATTCATCCAGCCTCACATTTCACATGATTTACTCTGCATATAAGTTAAATAATGTGAAATAGACAGCCTTGTTGTGATCCTTTTTTAATCTTAAACCAATCAGTTCCTCAGGAGACAAGTAAGATGATCTGATACTCCCATCTCTTACTTACCATATTTTGTGATTCACACAATCAAAAGCTTTAGTGTGGTCAATGAAGTAGAAATAGATGTTTTTCTAGAACTTCCTTGCTTTCTCCATAATCCAGTGAATGTTGGCAATTTGGTCTCTAGTTCCTCTGCCTCTTTGAAAACTAGCCTGCTCTTCTAGTAACTCTTGGTTCACATATTGCTGAAGTCTAACTTGCAGAATCTTGATGGCATGTGAAATGAGCACAATTCTTTGGTGATTTGACCATTCTTTGGCATTGCCCTTCTTTTGGATTGGCGTATAAACTGATCTTTTACAATTCAATGGCCACTGTTGAGTTTTCCAAATTTGCTGGCATATTGAGTGCAGCACTTTTACAGCATCATCTTTTAGGATTTTAAATAGCTCAGCTGGAATCACCTCCACTAGCCTTGTTGTTAGCAATGCTTCCTGAGACCCTCTTGACTTCATTCTCCAGGATATCTGACTCTAGATCAGTAACCACTCCATGGGAGTTATTGGTGATATCAACATCTTTTTTTGTATAGTTCTTTTGTGCATTCTTGCCACCTCTTCTTTTTTTAAAATTTTTATTTAGTATTTTATTTTCCCCTAGTTACATGTAAAAGCAATTTTTAACATTCATTTTTAAAACATTGAGTTCCAAATTCTCTCCCTTCCTCCCTCCCCACTCCCATTGAACTGATTCCACATAGGTTATACATGTGTAGTCATGTTGTGAAAGAAAACATAGACAAAAAAAAATCCTCAAGAAAAACAAAGGAAGTAAAAAAAAAAGTATGCTTCAATCAGTATTTAGACACCATCAGTTCTTTCTCTGGGGATGGATGGCATTTTTCATCATAAGTCTTTCAGAGTTGTCTTGAATCATTGTGTTGCTGAGAATAGCTGTCATTCACAGCTGATCATCTTACAATATTACTGTCACTTTGTAAGCATTTATTAATTGCCTACTATTTTCCAGGTACTGTGCTAAGTGCTGGGGATAGAAAGAGGGGCAAAAAAGATAATCCCTGACCTCAAGGACCTTGTTGTCTAATGGAAGAACTGTGGCTCAGAAGTAGAACTGAAGGTTTACTTGGACCAAGTTCAATCTTAGGTGCATCTTTCAAACATTTTTCTACCTTTTTTCCCTACTCAGGGTTTCCTCTGGGAATATCAGAATTCAGTTTGTGTCTAGGTCTCCAAAATGAAAGGGAAAGAAGGGCCTTCAGTTTCAGGGCTAACAAAATACCACATGCAGGTTTTTCGTTTAACCTGACAAAGAGATAATGTTAAGGCCTTTTACCCAAGTCTCTACTCTTTCCATTTCCTGTGAGCCTTCACCTCCCTCCAGGGTCCTACACAGTCCTTTGGAATTAGAGTACTGCCCTAGGGTTGAGGCCTCTACCCCCTACTATTTTTCTTTTTTTTTTTTTTTTAAAGACTGGATCTCCCTATCTCGTCCAGTTTGTGTGTACAGGGAGCATTCACAGGCCTGATCCCACTCTGATTGTCAGGGGAGCTTTGACTTACATATTTCCAACTTGGACCTGTTTGTACCTCCTTAGGCAACCTAGTAACCCTTGCTCCTGGAGGCATGTTATGCTGATGCCAGACTTAGTTTGGACACCCAATTGTGTCAGCGCACTGCAGCTCAGATCAGAATACAGAACCTCAGCCCTTCTGGATCCCCTAAAGCCCTTCTAAAGTCAAAGGGTACAGCTCTGGACTTTGTTAGCAACTATTGTTGTCTGAGTAAGGAATATCTCAACTTCATCTTCTAGGTGGGGTTGGTTAATTTAGTCATGCCTAGAGGTGTGTTTGAGTTGCTCATATTAAAAGAATTTCATAACTCCTTAAGAAGATATCATTAGTACCCAAACCAAGCACTCTAAATTGAACTACCAGGCCATTTGTACCTTCTGTAGGGAATTTTTTACTTTTACCTGTCTGGATATATCAATCGATGGAGCATTTATTAAGCTCCTTCTGTACCCTGTATACTTATGATTCCTGGTGACACAGATCACATAGTTGTCCAGTTGTGATGTCCTTACTTATGTTGGGAACTGATGAATACTTCTAGGATAAATATATAAATCTTCGCAAAACAATAAGTTTTTTTTAAATAGACCAAATATTTGAATATCATTTTTTAAAAGCTACAGTGCAGCAGATGATCTTCACAGAATCATAGAATTTGAGAGTTGGAAGGGACCTCAGCAAGGCATCTAACCCAGCCCAAACATGAAAGGAATCCCTGTCATAGCATGTGGTCATTCTTTCTACCTGACAGTCATCTGGCTTCTACTTGAAGATGTGCAAGAAGGTCTTATTCTGATGTCCTTAAAAAGTCCCCTCCTAGAATCATTTCCAAAGGAACTGAGAAAAGACAGCCTGGTAGAGGAAGAAGCATCTTCATTTGGGAAATACCATGTATTTGTGTTGAATTCCAGGCTCAGGCATGCTATGTGTAGAGAAACAATGTGGGGAAGAAACATGGCTACACATAAGGAAAGTATTTGTGATACTGATATTTGGTATTACAAAGGAGAAATCATGGAGGCAGGTAGGTGAGAGAGCTGAGTCTGAAGTCAGGAAGACCTGAGTTCAAATCTGGCCTCAGACTAGCTATGTGAACCGGGCAAGGCATTTAAATCCTGTCTGCTTCCTTTTCCTCAACTGTAAAATGGGGATAATAATAGCAACTACCTCCCAAGGTTACTGTGAGTATCAAATGAGATAATATTTTAAAAAAGGGCTTATCACAGTGCCAGTCACATAGTAGATGCTTAGTAAATACTTATTCCCTTCCCTTCTTACCTATTCAATGAAAACAGTAGATACAATTCTACCTTAGGATTCCATGTGCTGTTCTTGGTACTCTCAAAATGAGTGGGGGGTGGGGTCAGTGCGTGGAGAAGTTATTTTTAATTAACTAGTCAGATGGACAGTCATTTTCACCCTGAGAAGCAGGATTTCATTTCAGTGTTCTGGTCCCTGTTGTAACTTTGTCAGTAGCAGTAATTTTTCAGTATCCCATTTGTGAAAAAGAGACATTTAATTGCAGAATTTAGGTAGTGTGGAGGGGTGTGAACAGGTAGGTATAGAGACTAGATCTGTGATTTCAATGATACAGGGACCTCCCCCCCCCAGGTGAGGAAATAATAATAACATTACTATTACTAGTACTACTAGTCAGATGTGTCTGACTCTTTGTGACCACTTGGACACAAAGCTTGCAATACTGTCCATGGTTTTTTGTTTGTTTGTTTTATTTTGTTTTTGGCAAAGATACTAGAGTGGTTTGCCATTTCCTTCTCCAGTGAACTAAACAAATGGAGGCTGAATTTGAACTCTGGTCTTTCTGACTCCAAGCCCAGCACTTTATCCACTGAGCCACCTAGCTGCTTCTTCTTCTGCTGCTGCTACTCATAATAATAATGATAGCTACACTTTATGATTTGTAAAGCACTACTTTCCAAATATTATCTCATTTTATCCTCATAACAGCCTTGAGAGGGTGAGTACTATTACTACCTCCATTTTACTGATGAAGAAACCGAGGCAGATAGAAGTTAAGTGACTTGCCCAGGGTCACCACAGCTAGCTAAGTATCTGAGACAGAATCTGAAATTGGGTATCTCTTGACTCCAGGCTCAGTGCTCTATCTTCCTTCCACGCCATCTAGCTGCCCTCTACCAATGAAGATTGACACATTCTCTGCAACAAATAGTTTTGCATGGAGCACTGAGAAATTAAGTGACTTGCCCAGGGTCAGACAACTAGTACATATTAAAACATGGGATATATGAACCCAGGTTTTCCTAGGTTCAAGACCGGTGCTCTAACATGTTGCCTCTTTCTGAGCAGTGAATGCTTATTCACTCTCTAAAAAAAAAAAATCTTGAAGGTAGATCTTATTTTTAGAATCAGTTTCTTTTTGACCTTAGGAATGGTAAGGGCCAGCTTGAAACACTGGCTGTTTTATTCCAAAATGTTATGGATTATATTGTAGATTTCATATAGATTCCAAGGAAACAGAAATTGGATACAAATATTCACAAGTCAATAGGCTCAAATATGACTTGGATATGAGCTATCTAGCTGTTTTGGAATTAATTACATTATCTTTGTTCTTGGAAAAATCTGTGGATCTGGCCTCTGTTCCAGAGTATACTGACGGGTGAGAAATGAAGATCTTGAAGTGATTCTTAGGTTAATCATGTGACATTTGTCACTCTGGCTGTCACTGACTTGCCAACAATAGGTCCCAGCTCAAGCCTCCCTTGGTCATTGTTTGGGCCCTGATTGGCTCAGAATGAATGTAAATAGCATTTGTTTCTGTTCTGTCCAGAAACTCTGAGGTCTTCACCTCCAAGTTGGATTTTTCTTTTTCAAAGATGCCATTCTTTACCTCATTTCTTATTAACCCCTAATCACTAAATGGGTGATGCCTCAGTCAAACTGAGACCTGTTAAAAAAAAAACCTTAGCTTGAAAAGGCCAAGGTCCACCATTGCATCCTGGGCCACCTCCAGTCGTCCTGATCCGTATCTGGCCACTGGACCGAGATGGCTCCGGAGGAGAGAGTGAGTCTGCTAACTTTGCGCAGCCTCCCTCACTTAAATCCAGCTTACTTGCAAGTCATGGCATCACCTCCCTGATGTCATGGTCTTCTTCAGGAATGAAGGACAAACACCAGTAAGCAATGGCAATGTGACATTTGTTTGTTTTCTGCATGTTGCAAAAGAATGACTTTACAAGGCGGATGTCTCAGCTGGCTGAACATTCTGCCCATGGAGGATGCTTCCCCATTCTTTACAGCCCAACCCCAACTGGATTTTATGGCATAATTAACTGGGGGAAGAGTTCTGCAACTTTCTTGTTTTATTTGGCTTACCATCAGTGTACTCCTTTGCAATCAATTACCTTAACAAGCCTTGTGTGATTCCAACTCACGTTGAGTCAGCTTTTCCCACTGCCTAAACACTGAGACTGAAATGTCCAGTTATTCTTTTGGGCTGGGAGATCACAGGGCTCTTTCTTAACCTTTTCTAGATATAATCTTCTGGACCTAAAAAAGCCAACTAATCCTGGAAACAGACTTAGCCAGAGTTCCTGCAGCTCCCAGGGGGTGTCTAATTTATTACTGTGGTAGAGGTTAGACACTTAGGAACTTCCCTCAGAGAGAACGGTTAAATACCAGCTTTTCTTTCTGAGGTTACAGGCTGCCAGGCAGGTCAAAGACTTTCCATGATTTCCTTCCCTATTACCCTTCTCCCACCACCAGTGCCCTCTCTCCCATAATTCATAATTCAACAGGTTAGTAAGCATTCATTAAACACCGACTATGCATTGGGAACTGTGCTAAGCTCTGGGAATACAAAGAAAGGTGAAAACAGGACCTATCATTGAGGAGCTCACATTCTGATGAGGGAGAACAACATGTAAACAGCTGTGTACATATAAGATATGTACAGGGAAATCGGAAGTAATCTCAGAGAGAAGGCACTAGCATTAAAGGAGACCAGGAAAGACCTCATGAAGAGAGTGGGATTTGATCTGAGACTTGAAAGAAACCAGGGAAGCCAGGAAGCAGTTGGATTATATATACATGATATATATGTATATGTGCATATATATACATATATGTATTTTATGTCTAATTATGTTATCCAGTTATGTATTTATATATATATATTTATATATATTATATATAATATCCATACAGTTTTATATATATATACACACATATATATGTACTTAGATGTATAAATTTTTTTCCCTCCATTAGAATGTAAGCTCCTTGAGGGCAAAGACTGTTCCCCTGCCTCCCTTCTTTTAATCTCTAGCTCATTGCAAGAGCTTAATAAATGCTTGTTGATTGATAGAACAAAATCTCATGAGGTTTTGGAGGCCCTTTTTTTTTTCCTTCTTTGGAATTAGCCTTGACATTCCTGATGAATCCCATCTTTTGAGACAGGGTTGGAGGCCACATCAGTGGTTTTCTCTGCCTTGCTGCTAACAGGTATTTTTTCCTTCCTTCTTTGGGATCAGCCTTGAAATTCAGTTCCTTTAAAATCAGAAAATAAATCTTTTGAGACAGAGTTGAAAGCCAGATCAGTGGCTTTCTCTGCCTTGTTTCTAAAAGGTTTTTTTTTCTTTTGAGAAATAGCTTTGTATAAATTCCTATTTTGACAACTCACTGAACTTTCCTTTCTGTTTAATAGACTGTTTTTTATATTTGTTTCCCTGCAGTGACTTGTGCCAGAACATTCCAGTTCTCTTGATCAAGGGAAATCTTCCTTTAGGTTAGAGGAGGTGCTCCCTTGGGCTTCACATTAGAATAATGCTTTAGTGGATGACATGCCCTTCCTCTTAATAAATGGTTAACTGCTTAAATTTAAGCTTGTAAGGACTATCAGACTCAGTTACTTTTTAAAATTTTTATTTATTTTATTCCAAACTTAGGAAATAAAACAAGCACTTCCATAACATAGTAGAATAGAAGGAAAAATAAGATGGATGGAAATTCAGTTACTTTTTACACTGCTTTGCTTAAATACTTTTAGGAGTTTACCTGTGAGTTTTTGTATGCTGTTCTAAAATCAAAATGTATCCATTTTTTAGGGGGGAAGGAAGTGCTACTTTTATGTCCATGTGTCACCCCTTACATTCCTCAGGGAGGCAGAGGAATAAGTCTTGGTACTGAGAGTGACAGTTCAGACATGAGTTCTTAACCGTTTTTTTTTTCTGTTGTTTCCCAGGCCCCTTGGGCAGTCTGCCAAAGCCTATGGAATCCTTCTCAGGAAGTTTTAAAATACATAAAATAAAATACACAGGATTACAAAGGAAACCAGTTATGTTGGGGGAAAAAAGATATATTTTTTTTCTTATTCATTTTCCTAGATCCCCTGAAATCTATCCATGGACTCTTAGGGGTCCCTAAGTTAAGAACTCCTGGTTTAGATTGTGGGAGAGACCTCTGGAACAGTAGTGACCTTGTTACCTCCAAACCTACCTTATCCTTATCTACTGAGAGTTTTCAAAGGTACTAGATAGAAAAAGCAAATGAACTTGATTGAGGAATATCCAGAATTTCAGTAAAGCCATATATTTCTAAAATAAATTCCTCATGTAAAGGTCTTTGGGGGGGCATATTATAAATTTATAAACTCATTACAGGGTTTATAATGTATAGAAATTTCTTACTAGTTCATCTTAGCAGCCTGTATTAGTGGAATGCTTATCAGATTTTCAGATGGCAAAATCTGAGAGGGATAGCTAAGAAATTACATTAAGCATTTGGATCCTAAAAGACCATAGAACAAAGAGGATAAATAAAGTAATATGACGTTTAATAGTGATTTTTAAAAAATCAACTTTGGGGGCAGGTAGGTGGCGCCATGGATAGAGCACCTCTTTATGACTTCATTTGGAGTTTTCTTGGCAAAGACATTGGAGGTTTGCTATTTCCTTTCCAGCTCATTTTACAGAGGAGGAAACTGAGGCAAACAGGGTTTAATGACTTACCCAGGGTCACACACTCTCTGAGGTCTGATTTGAACTCACAAGGATGAGTCTTTCCGACTCCAGGGCCGACACTCTCTCTGCTGTGATACCTAGCTGCCAAATAATTTATTGTGCTCAAAAATCTCAAAGTGGGGACCTGGAAGTAGAAAAGCATCTTGCCTGGCAATCATCATCTCTAACATGTCAGAGGTGAGATTTCTTTTCTGTACAAAATAGGAAATCTGGAATGCCGTATTTGGAACTACTACATTACTCAATCTAGGGAATTGCCACACCATCTCCCCCAATCTGAGGTAGGATTGGAGGCTTGCAGCATCCCGTTCCTGCATCCAACTGTCTGGGAATGCTGTCTTTTAATGAATCTCTTCGGTATTTTTCCTCTCCCTAGAATGGATGCTTGGGTTATTGATTTGCCACTAAATAAGAGAATTGAAATGGCTAGGAGAAACTGATCAAATCTCTTCCTCTCTTAAAATGCCTCAAACTCAGGGAGCCTTCAATCTAGTTTTTGCATTGAATGATTCTAATTTACAGATATGTTGTAAAGGGGATTCTTGGCCAGGTATAAGTTGTACTGGATAGCTTCTGTGGTCTCTTCTAAGAGATTTCATGTGTGTGTGTGTGTGTGTGTGTGTGTGTGTGTGTGTGTGTATGTGTGTGTGTGTGTGTGTTAGCTGTCACAACAATGTAAACCTCCTTAGTCTTTATAGTTGGACATTTAGTTGTGTGTCCTAGGTACATAGGTTCATCCCCCCCCCAAAAAAAAAAACAACAACTGAGAAATCTTTGGATGTGGATTTGTTTTTCAATCTTTCAGGGGCAGATTCAAAGCTGTGGTCTGTGTCCTATCTGGAGTCACTACTTGTCTTGCATTTGTGAAGCCAGCCATCAACAACATTTCTCTGATGACCTTGGGCATTCCCTGCACAGCGCTGCTCATTGCAGAACTGAAAAGGTGAGTGACCTTCCCACGTGCACCTGTCTCTCAGATTCTCGCGATGGCAGAAGCTTTTGATAAATGGGTTGCTAGACACTCCCTGTAACCAGATCCTCCAGTCCCACCGGAGGGCATCGTAGTGTGTGGTACCTAGATTTGTCTGGGATGGTGCTTGGTACATAACAAGCAATAAATAAATGCTTGTTGAGGAGGAGGATGAAGAGTATTCAGTCTCTTCTGGTGTTCAATTCCTGCAATATGAAATCTTGATATATGTAAATTTTATATGAACACAAGCTTGACTGGTTGTTTTGACATTTTTTTCCCTAAGAAAAGTAGAGGGTTTCCTGCATCTTGCCAGAGAGGTGGTAGACTCCAAGTCCAGTAATAAGACGTACATTTTTGGATTTGGCCAGTGTGGGAATTTGTTTCGCTTGACTGTGTATTTGTTTGAGAGGTTTTGTTTGTTTATTGTTTAATGGGGGGGAGGGGCAGTGGGAGGGAAAGATAATTTTTTAAACCATTTGTAAAGATATTGAAACCATCCTTGATATATAACTGGCCCAGGGGACTAAGGCTACAGCTACTGATTTAGTTTCCTGATGGCCTGAGTACAATATCCATTGTAGAAAGAGTAAGTGGTTCTACCCTATATTGCCCAGTGGGATCCACACAAGGGCAGGAAGCAACCACCCAGGGGAATCTTTGCTGGATAATCTTTCCATACTACGACTACATAAATTTCCTCTTGTTAATTAAAAAAATAAAATGATAGTGCATTCAGTAGAAATTTTACTTTATTTTTATTTTTAAAAACATCAAATAAAATGAGCATTTCCAAATACAAAGTAGAACAGGAAAAGAGGATAGCCATGAATCTGTACATGCCTATTATGTACCTCTTGCTGAGTGCTCATTAGAGAGTATACGTGTGAGCTTTCATGCCGAGTCTGAAGTAGCATCAAGAGAATCTGTGGATTCATTGGCCTAGAGCCAGCCTAACATAGTTACGTAGGATGGGGGCATATGGGGTAATTTCAGATAAATAGAAAATAGACTATTTTAAACTATTGATTTTATACAGAAGTTTGAATGAAGGGTCACTTGTGAAAGAGTTGAAAAGAAAGTCGTTTTCTTTAAGTAACCTGTCTGCCTCAAAGACACTAGAAAAGGGATAAAAGGGGATGAAGACGGAAAACAGATTTGTGTATGAAGATGACAAAATGTGAAATGTTCTTTGTGGACTACTTTTCTAATTGTGATTTTTTTTCCCCAAACAAAGATTTCTATAGATGGAACTCATCACAAACATAGAATTCTTACATAAACATGTTTGTGGCGTGTTTAGATCCTCTTTCAGATGTAAACGTTATCTAAATGTTATTTTTTTGAAATCCCTTGTGACAGTGCTTCTCTTTTTATGTGCCTCATTTTCTAAATGCATTTTATGTTCATCACCATCCAAATCAAGATGTGTCTTTCTAGGCCCTGGAGGAGGCAGTAAGGTGGTCTTCTGGATACTGCTCTTGACCTGGAGTTCAAAAACTTCAAAAACTTAACTTCTGACTGCTTCAGTTTCCTTATTTGTAAAATGAGGATAATAATAGCACCTACTTCTGGGAGTTGTTGTGAGGCTCAGTTGACTTAATATTTATAAAGTGCTTTGCAAACCTTAAAGAACTATATAAATGCTAGTTATTATTACCCTCATATTGACTTGAATATATCCTTCCTCTTCTTTCTCATCCCAGTACAGCTTTTGAGAGGGAAAGAGGCATTTTTTTTTCTTTGCGCATTATTATCTTCTGGGTGGGCTGCTTTGATTACCAGCAGCAGCAAAGCACCCTGAAGGCCTGACTCTAAGCAAACAAGATCCCCTTCTCAGTTAGCAGGTAGACTGTTCCGAGTTTATTTTTCACAGCTCTGCAGCAGGAGGAATTCGTTCCTTTTTCAGAGCAGTGGATCCCAAAGCATCAGTGAGTATATATAGTTACAGACATAAGGAGGCTATGTCACAGATAGGAAGCAAATAGGCTTTGGTGAGGTCAGAAGGGAAAAGGGTGGGTTTCAAGGGTACTTTTGGTGCTCACTCCTTGGTCCACAGCCCTGGCAAGTGACATGGAGTAGGAGAAGAGTTTGGGTTGTAATATATAATTTGACTGCCCAGATGAGATAACTGTATCCATGTGACATGATGCAGCAAAGTGAGGGAGACAGTCATGTCTGAAGGATAGGGCCCCAAACTTTTGAAAGAAAATATTTAATAGAACCCAAGGAAGAGACTGACAGTGGCCTTGGGTATTTGAGAAGAATGTTTCTACCAGTCTTACAAATCTGCACATAATAAGAGATATCTTTTTCTTTAGCCCCTTCGAATTTCTAAAATAAGAAACCATTTTATGCACCAAGTTAGACTATGGTTAACATATAGGGCAATACAAAAGAAGGTAAGACAGATTTTAAGTATTGGTAAAGAATTCTTTTTCTACTACTAAGGTTACATAGACGAATCTCCTCATCAAAACTGAATGAGTTAACCGAAGAACAGAGGGGTTAAGTTGCTTTGCTCCTCCTCTAATTCAAAGTGACAAAAAGGTATCTATTAATATTACTAAAGTGTGTGTGTGGAGAGAATATAGGTCTTCCTGAGAGAAGTTAGTGAAGCTTCTTACTTGGATTTCCAAATAACATTTCCATCTAAGATAATTAAAAAAATATATTTTATTGATATTTTTTATGTGGCTATATTTTTCTCTTTTTTTCCCATTCTTTTTAAAATTTTGAGTTCCAAATTTTCTCCCTTCCTACTACCCCTCCCCCACACATTTAGAAGGCAAATAATATGCTACCCATTATACATGTGAAGTTATGCAAAACATATTTCTATATTAGCCATGTTGAAAAAAAAGGAAGAAAAATAATATGGAAAAAATATGTTTCATTACACACTTAGTGTTTATCAGTCCTTTCTCTGGAGTTGGATAGCACTTTCTATCATGGATCCTTTGGAATCGTCATGTCTTGATCAGAGCTGTACTCTTTCTCAAAGACCACTCTCCCTCGTAATTAAAAAGCAAAATGAATGAACACACTGACTATGTTTTACAGCACAGATCTCATTCTGTATTTATAATCTACCTCCCTGCCTAGAGGAATGAGGCATGTTTCGTCACCATTCTCTGAGGTTAAGATTGGGCACTGTACAGTTTTGACATCTTTCAATGTTATTTTCCTTTACGTTACTGGGGGGTCACTGTGTAAATTGTCTTGGTTTTGTATCAATTAAGATTACTTCATTTTAAAAAATAATGTTTTGTTTTTTCCCCAATTACATGTAAAAACAATTTTTGATTTTAAGATTACTTTGTAAATGCTTGTTTGTCATAGAAAGCTTGTTGTCCTAACAGTTGTAGTTACACTGGAGAATTGCCTCCTTTGGGGGTGCAGACCATAGCTGGGAGTCCTTACTCCTAGTTATTTAAAAAGAAAGATCTAAGGTAGCAGTCCCAGATTTCACAGTGTTTATTCTGCTGTTTCTTAGGCATTATTGCACATCTTGCATCTTCTTAGATTGTTGTCTGGGACATCTCTTTTGTGATTGTTAAATGAATAGAGAAAAAAGGGACAAAACCTTTCCAAAATCTTCCTAGTATCTTGTTCCACTTGCAGGAGCTCCCTGACAGCCTGTGGGTAAAACAAACCAATTAAAATGATTTCATTAATGGTCAACCTGATGCTGATTGATGGCATGGCCAGCCAGTAAGACAGGATGCCATCTGTGGCTATGGGGCTTTCTCACTGTGGAGGCCCACTGGCTTTTATGGTAACAGAGCATGAGTCATGCTCTCTTACCAACCCTGAGCATTAAAAGAAAGAAAAAAAAATTGAAGCTACTACCCAAACATAGAATTAAACTATTCATATAGACATTTGAATTAGACTTTGCCTTCCAAACTTTTGATATGCAGAGGGCCTGGTTTGTTCAATATATGAATTTGAACATAATGTTTTAGACTGATGTTTTTCTTAACAATTTTCCAAAGTGTCTAATTTCATTTTGTCTTTATCTGTGAGTCAAATGATATGTTTTAAAACTTATAATTTTTCCCCTCAAAAGGTTTTAAAAAGGGAAAACATTTTAAAAGAGGATCTTAAAAAGTGGGGGAATAAAATGGTTAGACGAGATTGTCTTAGTTTTGTCAAGAAAATTGTTCAGTTCTCTGATCTTTCAAAAGGAAAAATACATACTTATTTAATGATTCTGTCCCTAATTATAAAGTCTAATACTGAGCTTGGAATCAGGAAGACCTAGGTTGACAGTAGCTGTCTTAGTTGTCTGTGTTTCCTTCTGTTCTCTTCTGTGCATTAAAAAAAAATGCTTCATTAATGCTTTTACCATTTTTCTTTGTTTCTTTGTTCTCCCTTTCTCCCTCCCTCCTTTGCTCCCTTCCTTGCTTCCCTTCCTTTTTTCTTTTCCTTTCTTCCCTCCTTTCTTCCTTCATCACAGCCTCAGTTTCCTCATCTGTAAAATGGGGACTAGTGCCTACTTTCCAAGGTTGTTGTGAGAATCAAATGAGATATTTGTAAAATGCTTTGCAGGCTTCAGGGTACTATATAAATGCTAGTACTTTGGGTTTTAAGGCCCTTCACAACTTATTGTTCTCATTCACTTTACATTAATTCCTTTCTCACACTGTGTGGCCCAGCTATAATGGGGTGGGGGAGGGAGAAACAAGCATTTATTGAGCACCTATTATGTGCCATGCACTTCAGAAATATTATCTCATATGATCCTTACAACAGCCCTGGGAGGCAGGTGTTATTATCATCTCCATTTTACAATTGAGGAAACTGAGGCAGACAAAGGTTAAGAGACTTGTCCAGGGTCACACAGCTTGTAAGTCTGAGGTAGAATTTGAACTCAGATCTTCCTAACCAGGCCCAGCACTCTATTCACTGGGCCACTTAGTTGCATCTTTTGGCTTCTCTCTGTTCTTCACATGTTACTTCATATCCTGTACCTGTGTATTTTCATAGAGAATGAATTCTATGTCTGCCTTATAATAGTTTTTCACCTCTACCTCACAGAATCCCCATCTTCCTTCAAACCACCTTTTCCACAAAGCCTTTCCTGATCTACATAACTTCAAGTGCCCTTTCCCTTGTTTTTAACTATCTTGTAATACAGTTATCCCTTCCACATCTGGACTTTCCCCATTTTGATATATCATGGGTCAGTATAAGAAATCAAATGGGAATTTTTTGGGACTTTTGAGGAAGCTGTAGACCACACACAAAGGCCAGCAGACAACCCAGAAAAGAAAAAAACTCAGAAATGCATAAAATATGCATATAGTATCGTGTAACATGAACATATTTTATCTTTTAATACCATAATAATTCAGACTTCTTCTCTGGTCCAAAGAGAAGTCCAAAAAATTTTATGTGGATTTTCCAGATCAGGGGAGCACCACATCCCTAACCCTTTGCAATGTAGAAGGGATAATAGTATTTTTTATTTATTCCATATATAAGAACATCCCAAAAATCTTAGTGCAGTTTTAAGTTTTAGAAACTTTAGAAATACAAATGCTACAAACTTACAGAAAACCCAGAATTTGAAATTATTTCAAATTTCAAATGATTAAAATTTAACGTAACCATTGTCTTATGCTGTACGTTGCTCCAGTCAATTTTTTAATCTTTGTAGAGGCTTTCTTCAGCTGCGGCTCGGTGATCCTAGCTTTAAGATGGTTCAGAGAAGGAGATTTTGATATATACACGACAGTTTTAATGTGACCCCACAAGAAAATGTCTAATGGAGATAGGTAGACTGTGGTGGCCAAACGAGGGGCCTCCTCTGCTGATTCACTGGTCTGAGAAAGTATCATCCAGAAACTCAGACGCAATGCGTAATGACAGGGTATCCTGCCTGGTTAAAATTGAGTTTTAAAATTTATTATTGAAAATTCACAAAACTAAATGAAATTAAAGGAAATGTAAATAATTTGATTTCCACATGATATTTTTTGGAAGTTTGTAGCATTTATGCTTTGGAAGTTGTTAAAGCTTAAAACTTCACTGAGACTTTTGGGACACCCAGCATTTATATAAGTACACATTGTTTCATTAGAATGTAGTTTCCTTAAGAGCAGGAATATTCTTTTCATTTTTTTTGGTCTTCTTATCTCTAGCACCTAGAATAATGTCTGGCACCTAACTGTTGTTGTTCAGTGATGTCTGACTCTTCATGACCCCATGGACCATAGCATGTCAATACTGTCCATGGGGTTTTCTTGGCAAGTATATTGGATTGGTTTGTCATTTCCTTCTCTGGTGGATTAAGGGAAACAGAGGTTAAGTGACTTGCCCAGGGTCACACAGCTTCTAAGTGTCTGAGGTCAGATTTGAACTCGGGTCTTCCTGATTCCAGGTCCAGTGCTCTATCCATTAAGCCCCCTAGCTTCCTCCAGTTGGCACATAGTAGGGACTTCATAAATGTTTGAAGACTGATTCCAGCTCACAATCTATGCTCTATCATCCTATTTCTTACTGAGTCATGCTATACTTCAATTTAATTCAACAAGTATTTATTAATCACTTGTATGCACCAGGCACATTTGGGCAGCTAGATGGTACAATAGATAGAACACTGGGCCTGGAGTCATGAAGACCTGAGTTCAAATCTGCCCTCTGACACTTACTAGCTGTGTGACTCTGGGTGAGTCACTTAACACCTCAGTTCCTTGTCTATTAAATGGGGATGCGTTGGAGAAGGAAATGGCAAACCACTCCAGTATCTTTGCCAAGAAAACCCCATGGAATCATGAAGAGTCAAGACTGAAAGATTACAGTGTGCTGGGCACTGTACTCTAGGGTACAAAGAAAAAAAACAAGAATGCCTGCCCTCAAGGAGCTTATTCCCAAAGTGAGTGCAATTTTAGGCTATTAATTTTTTTTAACCAAATAGTGAATTCTTGTCCCCAAAGCTCAAGTCTTTATGTTTGTCAAACCTAAGATTGCCATAATCATTTACTACTGTGTATTGTCTGTCTACTCTGTGTCTGATCCACCTTTCTATTCCTTAGCTAATCCAGATAGTTTTGATTACCCCCTTATAATACAGTTTAAGATCTTGTACTGCTAATACTTCTTATTTTACTTTTTTTCCACTAATTTCTTTGATATTCTTTTTTTTTTTTGGGTAGGCAACGGGGTTAAGTGACTTGCCCAGGGTCACACAGCTAATAAATGTCAAGTGTCTACTCTGAGGCTGGATTTGAACCCAGGTCCTCCTGAATCCAGGGCCAGTGCTCTATCCACTGCGCCACCTAGCTGCCCCTTATCTATTTATCTATTCATTTATTTATTTATTTCTTATCTATTTATCTATCTATCTATCTATCTATCTATCTATCTATCTATTTATTTAATTATTTGTTTGTTTATTTATTTATTTTCTCTCTCTCTCTCTCTCTCTCTCTCTCTCTCTCTCTCTCTCTCTCTCATTTATTTATTTTAGGCAGTTGGGGTTAAGTGACTTGCCCAGGGTCACACAGCTAGTAAATGTCAAGTGTTTGGTCTGAGACCAGATTTGAACTCAGGTCCTCCTGGTTTCAGGGCTGGTGCTCTATCCACTGTGCCACCTAGCTGCCCCTGTTTCTTTGATATTCTTGACTTTTCTTTCTTCCAAATGAATTTTGTTATTATTTTTTCTAAAAACAAAATAATTTTTTTGGTATTTTATTTGGAATGACATTGAATAGGTAGATTAGTTTAGGTAGAATTGTCACTTTTATTGTATTGGCTCTGCCCACTCAGAAACAATTACTATTTCTCCATTTATTTAAATCTGACCTTATTTGTATAAAAAGTATTTTATAATTATAAAATGTTCATGTCATTCCTGGGTTTGTCTTGGTAGGTGTACTCCCAGGTATTTTATGCTGTCCATGGTTATTTTAAATGGCATATCTTTTACTATTTCTTGCAGGGTTTTGTTGGTGATATATAGACATGCTTATGATTTATGTGGATTTATTTCATATGCTGCTTTGCTAAAATTATTAATTGTTTCAACTAGCTTTTTAGTTGAATTTCTAGGATTTTCTAAGTATATCATCCTATTGTTTGCAAAAAGAGATAGTTTGCCCACCTCTTTGCCCATTTTGGTTCCTTCAATTACTTTTTCTTCTCTTATTGGTATTGCTAGCATTTCTAATATGGTATTGAATAATATCAGTGATAATGGACATTCTTGTTTCATTCCTGATCCTATTGGGAAGGCTTCTAGTTATCCCCATTACAAATAATGTTTATTGATAATTTTAGGTAGTTGCTTCTTATTTTAAGGAAAAATTCATTTATACCATTATTGTTATTGTTATAATTATTATTATTATTATAGTGTCCTGAATGAGACCCTAGCAAGGGGAGAGACTGGAGTTCGTTCCTCATTATTGCTATATATATCGTATAAAAACTGAAAAGTGAGAAAGCCAAATAGATGTAATCCTGTCCATTGCCAAGCCTCCCAGTTTCTGATTCAGAGTTAGTCTTAAATATATATATGTATATACATACACACATATGTTGCAATATATATTCAATATATACGGAAATACATTAATTGAAATACACACATACGTATGTAGGCAGTTAGGTGTTACAGTGCTGGGCTTGGAGATAGGAAGATTCATCTTCCTGAGTTCAAATCTGGCCTCAGACACTTCCTAGCTGTGTGACCCTGGGCAGGTTGCTTAACCTTGTTTGCCTCAGTTTCCTCATCTGTAAAATGAGCTAGAGAAGGCAATGGCAAACCATTCCAGTATCTTTGCCAAGAAAACCCCAAATGAGGTTACAAAAAGTTGGACATAAATGAAATGACTAATACACATACGTACATACGTATGTATATATTTCAAGTAATGTGAAAGAATAGCTTAAGCCTATAACACTCAGTTGGAAATCCTAGTCTTAAATGCTAGGATAACTATAGTTCTGCATTCAGACTTACTTTAATAGAATTTTTGCTGGCAGATCTTTCTGAAAATGTTCCTAACTTTCCAACTAGAATGGGAATATTGTAACTGTTTCTCACAAGCAGCTCCAGAAACTGCAGGGAAATCCTTTGAGAGTTCCGAGTCTGTCAGTAACCTTGTGAAGGGAAAAGAGAACTAAAAAAGAGCCGACACATCTCACTACAATGATGGGAATTGAGGTTTTTTTCCCTATGAATTAATTACGGCTAAAACATCGGCAGTCAAAATCTCCATTAATCTATTCAGTCTAATCAAAAGGCATTTTGTTATCTTCCATATAGATATGATCATAGCAGCCACAACTAGGAGGGATGGTGTCTTACCTTTTGAAAAGCTATCTTTTTTTTCTCCCCCAGGTGTGACAATGTGCGGGTGTATAAACTCGGCCTCTTTTCCGGTCTTTGGTGGACTCTCGCTCTCTTCTGTTGGATCAGTGACAGGGCCTTCTGTGAACTCTGGTCTTCTTTCAACTTCCCCTATCTTCATTGTGTATGGTAAGTCTCACTTAGGTCAAGTTGGCTATGCCCATTTTTGGAACCTTTCTGCCATGTTTTCACTTTCTTCCAAGGAAGCAGAATGGAATAACTGACCCATTTCCTAAGCCAGATATACAACAGTTTCGGCAGCAACAGGAAGTCATGTAAATAGCAGTATGGACCCAAGGGATCAGGCCTAGCCAAAAAGGAACTAAAAAAAACCCCAACAACAAAGAGGCAGCTAGGTGGTGAAGTAGATAGGACACTGGCCCTGAAGTCAGGAGGATCTGAGTTCAAATCGGACCTCAGATACTTGACACGTACTAGCTGTGTGATCCCAGGAAAATCACTTAACCCCAATTGCCTTGCTTAAAAAAAAATCAAAACAATGCATGCCTGTGGTCACAATTCAAGGGCCTTAAAATGGGGGTAGGATGCAGAAGTTCTGAGTTTCATTTACCTTCTGACAAATTGTAAAAGTACAAAAATGCTAACCCACAATATGAGATTTAGATAGAGTATGAATTGTACTGCTCCTTGGTTAGACCTTCAGGAAAGTGCTCTGCTTGAGTAGAATCCACTCCTTCTGTAGTACATAAATGACCCATCTGAGGTCTGACTTCTTACCACTAATTAATAAGTATGACTACTGTGAAATCATACCAGCTAGAAGGAATCTTAGAGGTATTTTAACCCAAATCTCTCATTTTATAGGTGAGGAAACTGAGGTCCTGAAAACTTAAATGATTTCCCCAAGGTCATATATCTGTTTAGTAACAGAATCAGGATTAAAACCCAATAATGGGGAAAGCAATGGAGAAATATTGATTACTATAGGGATGAAGGTAGAGTTTTCCCCATGGAAGTCTCTGGCCATCAACCCAGAAGAATCCTTTTTCACTTGCAAGTGAGCTTTTTTGATTGGAAAAATGTGACAGGTACTAATAGAAAAAATCCAAAAGTTATTATTCAAGAACATAATGGAATGAGATTATGGTTGGGAGATGGTGCAGATATTAGGATATTCTTAAACTACATAAAATTACATACAAACTTAGATCAAAGTTTTTTGAAGGATTTTCGTGATGGACAAGGCAAGATGGTCATTCAGTAACAAAAAATTTCCAAAAAAAAATCCCACATATGGTGAGAATTTCTATGTTGGCTTACCTCAGAGAACAAGAAAAGTTTTCCTAACCCTAAGATACTACTAGTATGTCTCAAATAACCATCAAAGAAATTTTAGTTTATCCTGTGCCTGCTGTAATGATCATCACTGTCAGCCACTTCACATAGCTCCAGTCACCACAGAACTTTTTTCTCCTTTTAGGATACCTCAATATCTCTCTTTTTTATTAATTTATTTTTAGTTTTCAACAATTGCTTCCATAAGCTTTTGAGTTTTAAATTCTTCTCTTCCTCCCTCCCCAAGACGGCATGCAATCTGATATAGGCTCTACATATACATTCCTATTAAACATATTTTCACTTTAGTCATGTTGTGAGGAAGAATGAGAACCAATAGGAGAAACCACAAGAAAGAGGAAACAAAACAGAACAAAAAAAAAGAGCAACGAGTATGCTTCGGTCTGCATTCAAACTCCATAGTTCTTTCTTTAGATGTGGATTGCATTTTCCATCTTGAGACTTTTGGAGAAGTCTTGGATCCTTGCATTGCTGAGAAGAGCTGAGTCTATCAAAGTTGGTCATTACACAATGTGGCTCTTACTGTGTACAATGTTTTCCTGGTTCTGCTCACTTCACTCAGCATCAGTCCATACAAGTCATTCCAAGTTTTTCTGAAGTCTAACATTTTTTTAAGTTATAGAAAAAATAGCAAAAAAAAATCTACTAGGGTACCTGATCCAATCTAAACACAGAATACTCAATACTTTTTACATCTCAAGTATTCAAATCAAAAACAAAGGACCTATGAAGGAAGATGCTATCCACCTCCAGAGAAAGAATTGTTAAATAGAAGTATGCATAGTATGGTTTTACACGTGTGTATATATAGTTATTGGTATCTTTTGTTTTATATCTCCTTTATTTCCCATTGCATCCCTCCCTCTACCACTTCCCTTTATAACAAACAATAAAAAAAGAGGAAGAAAAAAATTCAGCAAAACTAATCAATTATATTGAAAAAAGTCTGATATGATATGCATTTTCCACACCCACAACGGAGAAAGGGAAGATGTCACCTCATGTGTCTTCTTTGGGACCAAACTTAGTCATTATAATTTCACATCATTTGATTTTGATTGTGTTGATTATATTATTCTTTCCATGTTTATTGTTGTTATCATTCGCATACAGGTTTTAATATAAGAGACAGGAACTATTTCCTTTTCATTTGGTTTATAACCATTTATCTTCCCTTTGAAGCCACCATTGCCCTCTCAAGTTTGTTTCACTATCAAAGATAATCTGTGTACAAATGATACTTCACTTTGTGATTATTTAGGTACTAGTATGTCTGGAGAGGCAATATGGTTTAATGGATAGAGGGTTGGTCTTGGAGTTGGAAAGACCTGGATTCAAATCCTGTCTCTGCCATATATTGGCTGTGTGATCATGAGCAGATCATGTAACCTCTCTGTGCCTCATTTAACTTTACAGATGAATGAATTAATGAAAGAATGAATGAATGAATGGATTCTATTATAAGACTATAAGTTGCAGATCAGACAGCTGGTTTGCATTGGTAGAGGGAATTTCTTCACTGGGATTTCCTAATATCAATGGAAATACAGGTTTAGTTAAAACAAAAAAAATTATACCTGAGCCAAAGAATGTAAAACACCAACACACCACCACTAAACTGCTATGGAAATTTAACCAGTTTAAAGCAATGTCTGTGGAGAGTCATAGAGGCTAGACAGCTGGCCTGGGAGTCAGGAAGACCTGAATTCTAGACCTGCCTTTGACACAAACTATCTGAGTGGTCATGGGCAATTCACATAATCTCTCAATGTCTCCAGATAACTCTGTAAGATTTAAAATTACCCTAGGTGAGTTGCTAACATGATAGAAGCGCCTGGGTGGCGAAGTGGATCGACTGATGGGTCTGCAGTCAAGACCTGAGGTCAAATTTGGCCTCAGACACTTACTCTCTGGGTGACCCTGGGCAAGTCACTTAAGCATTGTCTGCCTCAGTTTCCTTTACTGTAATACTGGGATAATAATAGCACCTAGCTCACAGGGGTTCTTGAGGATCAAGGGAGATAATATTTGTAAAACATTTAGCACAGTGCCTGACATATTATAGATATTTAATAAATGCTTTAAATGTTTTATTGATGCCTTTTCTTTCCTTCATATAATCTACATTCCAGTAACTCCCTACCCTGCTTTGTTGAGACAAACACATGCTGTATCTAAAAATGTATGCCCTATTCATCACCTATGAAAGAAAAGTTTATTGATGACTTTTGCTTTCACATCACTATCATTTCTGGATGTCTCCTTTCCCTGCCCCCAGAATTGAATCCTTAGTTGTAATTTTGTTACCCTGGAACCATCTGAAAAATTGAGCAAAAACAACCAAATGTAGCAATCTGACAATGTAGCATCTAACAATACATGCAATGTTTTACCCTTGTCCCTGTCTCTGTGGAGAGGAGGTAGGGTGTATTTTATCTGGTCTTTGAGACTATTATGATTTTTCAGTTATTCAGAGTTTGGCTTTCTTTTAGTGATTTAAAAAAATTGTATTTCTGGAATCATCACACATGTTGTTCCCAAAGTTTTCAAGATATAAATGTTTAAAATTGCACAAGACACACACACTCTCTCTCTCTCTCCCTCTCTCCCTCCTTCCCTCTGTGTCCTCCTCTCCCTCCTTCCTCTTTCTCTCTTTCCCTCTTTCCCTCTCCACTTCTCCCTCTCCTTTTCGCCCTTTCTCTCTCTTTCTCTCTCTCTCCACACACAAACACAGAACATGTATACATACATATGTACATACATACATACATTATCTCATGTATATGTATATATGGACATTCATTCATATTTGTGTATACATGCATATACACATAAACATACATATGCATATACATCCATATATGAGACAGTGTCCCAAAAGTGTGTTGGTTTACCTCACCCTACGTATGATGCTTCCTACATTTCTCTGAATTCCTCACATTTGTCATTTTTTACTGGTCAGTAATGTTCTATTATGTTTGTATAACATTATTTATTTAGCAGGTCTACAGATAATGAACATTCATCTTGTTTCCAGGCCTTTTTTATCCCCAAAAGGACTTGCTGTGAGTAGTTGGATATATATTAGACCTGTGTTTATATCTATGACCTCCTTGGAAAGTGAATCATGGGGTTAAAGGCTATGATGAGTCTAATTACTTCTTTTTTTAAGCATAATTCCAAATTGTTATCCACAATGGTTAAACCTATTCACAGCTGTACCAACAATGTATGATACTGTCTTTTCATAGCTCTTCCAACCTGATTATTCCTATTTTTGTTCATCTTCGAAAATAGGTCTATTTATGTTATTTATATTGTTTATTTTAAAGGGCCATGAAAACACTCAGAGCTCCTAGAATAAAGGTCTTTTCTAAATGTTTATGGTATTTAAAAACAAGTGGCTTTCTTTAAACATGGTTGTGTCTTGAGACATAGATATGAGGCAACTACTTCATTTACTGGTAGGTCTGCTATAAAAGCAGCCGTACTCAGCTCATTTCCCTCCTCTCACAGCCTCTATTTTCAAACTCTTGTGACTCAGTCTTGGTCCCCTCTCTTCACATGATTTAGCCTCCCTGTTTTAGAATTAGTTCCTGTTACAGAGAATAAATGAGTCACTCTCAGTGTACAGCATGAGAAAAGTTGGCCCTGAACAGGTCAGGGTTCTCCAGCTATGTAGGAGAGCTGTAACTTCATCCCCTTTGAATGAAGAGGGACCAGAGCAGGTAATTACACTCTCAAACAAGGAATAGAGGAACAAGTCGGCCAGAAATGGCAATGGTGTTCTAGATCAAGCTTTTTCAGGGAACTTCAGTCAATCATCAAACCTTTATTAAGTGCCTAATATTGTAGCTGATGCTGGGGTTTATGGCTTTATCTGTTTTTCAGGCACATCCTCATCTGTCTGGCTGCCTATCTGGGTTGTGTCTGCTTTGCATACTTTGATGCTGCCTCCGAGATCCCAGAGCAAGGTCCTGTCATCAAATTCTGGCCCAGTGAAAAATGGGCCTTCATTGGAGTCCCTTATGTCTCCCTCCTGTGCGCCAACAAGAAATCTCCGGTCAAGATCACATGATGTAAAGTTCAACGGCTCTTGATTTTTCCTATTTATTTTTCCTCACTTACTGTGCTTGGTTGATGATGGTGAGAGCCAGGGAGACTTGAATCTGTCTCTTTTTATCTGTTTGGGTTTTTTTTACTCCTGTGTATTTGAAACTCGCAAGGGTTCAACTGTGTACAGTAAGAAATGCACTTTTTTTTTCTTTAAGAAATGCATTTTTTTCCTTTCCCTTGGAGAGGAGGAAGATGGATTTTGGTGTTTTGTTTTGTTTTTGAGACTGAAAATGCTTACAAGTAGAATTTTGACTGGCCCTGAGTTTAGCTTCTTCAGGCTTTAATTTTAGATGCCCATTATCCTTACTACTGGCTCATGAATCTTAAAACACTGTGATGGTAGTATGTCTTGTTAGACCAAAGCAATAGACTGACAAATCCTGGGGAGGAATGTTTGTTAAATGCAGACCTTCCCTCTTCTCTCTCCCACCCACATATTATCTTTTCAGAACTCTTGTGGTTGGAATCGACAAGCAAACGTAGTTGGACTAAACCTCCATCTTTGTTCCAGAGATTTTCATTGGTGGAAAACTGGCCATGGATATGAAGGGCTCGTGGAAGAATATTTTTTAATGCAAATCTCACAAAATCTAGGCTTTAAGTAAGGTTAGAAGTTATTTTTCTATTATTTATGCTGAGAGTCCTAGATTCATCTTCTATATTTGGGCAAAATTAATGAGGAGACAGTTGCCATCATCAAACCATCCTTTAAAATGAGCACTACTTTTTTTCATTATCCCCCCCCCTTTTTTTTTATTCCTTTCCCCCAGCTCATAATACACTGATAAGAAAAGCTGTAGAATCATAGAACAGTAGAAAAGCAAAGGGAATAGAATTATAGAATGTTAGAGTCTGAAGGTATCTTAGCTGGATTGTTGGAGCGGAAAGGATCCCAGAGGTGGGGTCAAAAGATCGGCTTTTGAATCCTGGTTCTTCTACTTTTATTAGCTGTGTGACCCCAAGTAAACCACTAACCTCTCTGGCTCTTAGTTTCCTCCTGTATAAGGCAAGGACGATAGTTTTAGATAAGGTTCACTCTGGACTTGAAATCTTAGGAGCCTATGAGATCATTTAGTCCAATCCCTTCATCTTATAGATAGGAATAATAGATATGTACCATGCAGTGTAGTACAGTAGCTTTACTATTTGCCAGGCTGCCAAAAGCCCAGCTGTAACTTTGGTGGCAGTTTTACCGCCCTTTCTTGGGGAGGGGGGTATATTGACTGGCACAAACCCAGTGAAACTAAGCTCTGGTGATTTTTATATTGGGGTAACCTCTTAAGTGAAGCACAGAGTAACCTGAAATATTCTGAAATATCATACAATACCTTCGAGAGTCACTTTTAGGGGTCATCTTTAATTCTCCATACCACCTGAGTGTGGCAGTTTAGTTTGAAGACATCTTAGATGGATGGTTATAGTGGAAAGGATATCAGATGTGGGGTCAAAGGACACCAGATGTGGGCTTAAAGGACCTGGGTCTGAATCCTGGTTTTCCCATTTTTATGAGCTGTCTGACCCTTGGTAAGCCACTATCCTCTCTGGTCCTCTCTTTCCTCATCTGTAAAGTGAGGGTGTTGTTTTTGTTTTCAGTGTATTCTGGATTCTAACATATTACAAGACTCCCCATTACAACACTAGCTAGCTAGCAATAATAGATGTTTAATCAAGGCATCTATTAGATGTATTCAAAAGTAGCCCTAACTTGGCTTGTTCGTTCAGCATTACCAATACGCTGCTCTTTGAGTTCTTCAACTCCAAAAAGATTCTATGGACTCAGTTGCTCCCCTTCTTCACTGGGATGAATCAGGAACCAGCAGATGCCTGCAAATGTCTCTTGAATTCAAATCTGGCCTCAGACACTTACGAGCTGTGTGACCCTGGGCTAGTCACTTAACCCCTTTTGGCTCAGTTTCCTCATCTGTAAAGTAAGCTGGAGGGGCAGCTAGATGGCACAGTGGATAGAGCACCGGCCCTGGACTCAGGAGGACCTGAGTTCAAATCCGGCCTCAGACACATAATACTTACTAGCTGTGTGACCCTGGGCAAGTCACTTAACCCCATTGCCAAAAACAAAAAACAAAAACATAAAGTAAGCTGGAGAAAGAAATGACAAACCCCTTCAGTATGTCTGCTAAGAAAACCGCACATGGGGTCAACAAAGATGCAGACACACCGAACACAACACCAACAAGTGTCTACAAGGTCTATGGCACTGGTTGCTAACCTCAGGGATATTTTGTTTTCATTTCGCTGGAGTGTTTCTTACTTTGTCCATGACATTTCACTGTTGGGGGTTGGAGGAGGAAAGGAGGATTGTTATTTATCTTCTTTATAAGGTCAGAAAGCACTTTGTGTTGTCATAACACGTTTGAGTCCCAGGGAACTGGGTCATGGCATCTATTCATCAAGGTCAGTTGCTGCTGTTATTCTTGGAATTCATGTAGGATCCAAAGTTGTTGCCCTTGCAGGAGTTTAGGAGATTAAAAAGCACTTGGTGTTCCCGAATGGCAAATGGAGTCCATTGCCTTATTTTAATTGCTTGAGTGAAGCTGCTCTAAGAGTTTCAGAGACAAACGATTTGGAATTCTCTCTCAAACACTGGCTGCAGGTTGGCTTTCTGTGCCTACTTGCTGCCACACTTCAGGCCAAAGTCAGGAGTTCCTTGAAGGGGAACTTTCACAAGGTTTTTATCTGCTTATTTTGTTTCTTTCATGTCCAACCATTCTTCACTATCGAAACAGATAGAGATCTCCAAGGTATAGGAAGTATTTTCATTTTTCACAACTCTAGTTGGTTACTCCAAGGCAGTTCTCATGGGCATAAATACTGCCCATCTTCATGTCTCTGGACAATAAGTAAGGATAGGCTCCTTGTCTTAAGACCTGCTTATTTTATACTTAATGGATGGGAAGAAGGTTTGGGGAAGGGATATTTCTGAAATTGTTGCCTGGAAGCTCTGGATTCAGGCTTCCCCACCCCCAACCAAGACTAAATCTGTTGTCATCCTGATTTGGTAATTAATGGGAATTTTCAGAGCTCCCTTTGGAAATAGGGGTAGGGGGATAGAAAGAAAAACAAGCAATTTGATACCTGGGAGGTGTCGGGGGGGCTGATAGGTGAATGTTTGAATATTCCAGGAGTTTAGTGGGGTTGAAAATTCCGATGCTAGCTCCTGGGATCCTCCTTTTCCCTCTCCTTCTACAAGAGGCAAGTTGATTGTGTTAGGTCTGTCAAACTTGCTGTGCTTTGTTACAAGCAGAAACCATTGTTGATGGTGACCTGTTAAAGAGACCCAGGGCAAAAGCGAGGTCCATGGTCTCATGGTTAGTTATAGGTACTCACTCCATCCGTTAGTGATCACATCCCATCACTACCCTCCACACCTTTTCATTCCGTGTGACTCTTGTTCACGTCTTTCCATAAATGTATAGAGGACCCGCTCTGGCCTTTCTCTGGTTCTTTAATGTCTCAAGGATGCCTATGTCAGTGCTTGGGCTATGACCAGTCCATGTCTCTTTCTTTGTTATATGTATCTCTGATGATATTAGGGTTATAGGGTCATAGATTCAGAGCTGCAAGGGATATCGCAAGTCAAACCTACTATTTATTTAAAAATTATATTTATGTCGTTACCTCTTATTTGTCTGTTTATTCATAGTAGTAGATTTCTTTCATGGTTGGTAGTTAGTTCATCCTTTGGCATAAATGAAACAAATAGGTATGAGATTCCTTTTTTTAAAAAATGAAATTCTTTTTAAAAATAGCTTTTGAATTGCACTGTGTTTATCTAAGTTCCTTAGATTCTAAGATCACTAGGTTTTAAGACTTATTACTGAACTTCCCTTTCAAGATGGGGTTAGTATGAACTGAGCCTAAAAAGAAAATTCAGCTTAGATTTATCCTTCTGGCTCCATTGGATATAATAATTAAAGAATCCCTTAGAATCAAATCTTCGAGAGGTTTTCTCTGACATTTTATCAAATGATGTGCAATCATGAATATATTTTTAAATGGCACAGGTGAAGATTTCAGTATTCAAGAACTATGTTGTGACAATTTTTTTTGACACAGCTGGTAAACTTTTATTTCAGGCAGAATTTGTACAGAATCCAAAGTAGATGGCCCAACAAGTGTTGGAATTTGAGATGTAAAAAGCATTACATATTCTGTGTTTAAACTGGGTCAGGTACCCACCCTAGTAGGTTTTTTTTGCTTTTTTTTGTAACTTTAAAAAAATGTTGAACTTTGGAATTAGAAATTGTTCCTTGTCCTTTATACTGAGGTGTTCTAAAAGGAGAAAGAAGTTCTGTGGTGACAGGAGCTATGTGAAGTGGCTGATGGTGATGAGTATTACAGTGTTCACAGTTAAGGATAAACTGAAATTTCTATGATGGTTGTTTGAGACATTCTAGTATCTTAGGCTTAGGAAAAATTTTCTTGTTCTCTGAGGTAAGCCAACATAGACATTCTTATTGTATGCAGGATTTTTTTGGGGAAAATTTTTTGTTACTGAGTGACCATCTTGCCTCGTCCATCGTGAAAATCCTCCAATCCTCCTAAGTGTCACTGAATACTTGCTTTATTATGTTTTTCAGGTATTTGCTCTTTTTCTGTTGTTGATACAGCATGCCCAAAGCATCTAGAACACAGAACATTATATAAGATACCTTAGGGAGCAACCTTATCTGACCCCTTCTTTTTCCAGAGGAGAGGGAAAGATTTGTCTCCAAGGTCAGATGGTGAATTAATGGGAGAATTTAGAGAAGAATCTAGGTCTTCTGTTTCCCAGACCAGTGTTCTGCCATTTTCCTTGCTTATTCGACTCTTGGTGCTAGAGCTCTGATTTTATAAATCCTTTTCTGACTATGCCCAGTCATGAAATAAAACCATCATGTAGCAATCAGGTTTATACACTTACTGTATCTATAGGGCTGGTGAGGGCTAAAGCTTATTCTGACAAAACCACCCGGAGTATGTTATTTCCAAAACAAAGTTTGGACCTTTCAATACAAGGGCTTTATCTGGGTGCTATCAAATTCAACTTAGAAGCCATATTAACCAGCTGAATTCTTTTTATAAATGTTTCCTACAGACTTTCACTAATATCTCTTACTGTTTGAGCAGTTTGTCTTTCATATATTTGCTAAACCAGCCTTTTCACATTTTTGTATTTGTAATATGTAATCAAAGAGAACACATTATTCTTAGATGTGTAAGTCATTCTTTTGCTAGAGTCCTATGGAAACGGAAATGTGTCTAATGTGGTAGTAAGCATTCTCCCTCACCTTGGGGGGAAGAGTCATACTTTTTACAGTCTAGCTGTTGCACTTTATGCTTTGAATTTTATAGCTGTCTTTTCATATAAAAACCACAAATGGTATTTTCTGTATTTGAGTGAATATAATGTGTACCTCTGTGGTTCCATCACAACTTCTGTAATACCTGTAGTGAAAATGAGTTTAATGAATTAAGGCATAGTACCTGTGGTGATCCAGTTAGGGGAATCATTGAGATTTCTTTCAAGAACTGTGAAACTAATACATCTATTTTTGGAGATAAATATTTTCAACATAAATCATCTCTATATAATTAATTAAACTGTTATAATTCTACCCCATGGATTTAAAACATCTCAAATGTTTTGCTATGTTTTGGTTTTGCCTAATCCATCTGCAAAGAATGGATTATGTTTTATATTATTAAATTACTTTAGAAAAAAAAATCTATGCCTAACTCTTCATTTGTTTTATTTGCCTGTAAATGAAAGAAATTATAATATTAATTGATATATGACTTAGATGAATCTTGCCTGGACTATCGCAAAGCTTTGTCATTGGTTTCCCTGCCTGAAGTCTCTCCCCATGCCAATCTATTCTCTACTTAACATGTATCATGGCGATTTTTAAAAAAGGTGGGCCTGACCATGTCACCCCCAGCTCAAGAAGCTCCGGTGGCTTTCTGTTACCTTACACGTCAAATATAAACAAATAGAAAATATAAAGAACATGTAAAGCTCTTCAGAACCTGGATCCTTCCTTCTTTCCCAACTTTCTTACACCCTTACTCCTCTTGATGTACAGTCCAGTTGCACTGGCCTATCTATGTGCAGTTCCTGGAACATAGCACTCCATTTTCCTTTTTTAATGCCTTTATACTGCTGGTCCCTCCAAGACTGGAATGCTCTACCCTCTCATCTCCACCTCTTAAATTCCCTGGCTTCCCTCAGGACTTACTCAGCTCAAATCCCACCTACTGGAGTGAAGAAACAAGGATCTTCTCAGAACCTTAAGGTGTTTCAGGGTCATAGATAAAAAGTTAAATAAGGTAGATGGGGGGCTTGGGCTGGTTTTGATAGTCTTAGAAGACTGAAATGGGAGAGATAGGGGACTGGATGGAGAAGGAAACTGCTGTCTCACATGAGAAAGGTGCATGAAATGAAGAGTATTCAAACATGGAGGAAGGGGCAAGGGGAGCAGATGTCCCATGAACCTCACTTTCGCCTGAACCAGATAAAGGAAGGCTACACACACACACACACACACACACACACACACAAAACTGTGTTATAGAAATGCATTCAACTTAATAGGGAAATAGGTGAGGACAGGGAGAAGGGAGAGATAAAGTAGAATAGATAAGGTACTATTTATCAGCAAAACTAAATCCGATGTATGAGGAGGGAATGTGAAGGGTCTGAGAATAATAGGAAGGAAAAATTAAAAACCTGTGATGGGGTAGGGCAAAGGGAAGAGACAACAGGGTAGAAACAGACTGCCTTATTTACAGACCACACGTGTTGGAGAAACATCTCTTTTTACCACCTTCTGATTTGTAAAGAGGGGATGGGAGCAAGGAGAAGGAAAAGGACAAGAAGACAGGATGGAAGAAAATATACAATTAACCATCATAA